GGATGTTAGTCAGGTTGGCAGGAGCTAGTGTGGGAGCCAGGATCAAGGCAGGATCCTTGGAGCACCAGATTCCGGGCTCCCCCAAAGACACCCCACCCAGCTGGGCTGAGACAGGTGCTTACTCGCTCTGTCCGAGGAGGATTCAGCCCAAAGACCTGCTGGCGGCGCGTGGCAGCATCAGACCTTCCATCCATGTGGAAAGAGAGAGGAGAGGAAGGGCACCTTGGAATTTGGAAGGCCCCGGGCCCCATTTCATCTTAATCTGCCTGGAGGAGACACCTCACTCTCCTTTACCCCTGCACCTTTACCCCCAAACTGCAGACTGTGCCTGAGGATACTACGTGACTGGCCAGTGGGTGTTGACAGGCCTGTTCTGTGCCTGACCCGGCGGACACCAGTCTGTTACAGCCCCAGCTACAGAGCTTTAGCTGTGGAGGTTCCCCGGTTCACTCCTTACGGTGGGGCAAGATGGCAGCCATTACACAGCAGCATGTTACCTCAGGGAGTGCAGTGGAACCGCCACATCACCCACCCACACTTCAGCACTCACCCAGCACCTCCACCACAAGCTCAATGGCATCGTCTCCAGCGCTGCTGGCCGCAACGCACCGGTACCACCCTGCATCAGAGACCCGCACGTCCAGGATGCTGATGGCCCCATCAGGCCCCTCTAGGAAATCCTGGTCGCCCACCCTCAGCGGGCTGCCATCTTTGGTCCATCGGAGCTTGGGGACTGGATTGCCGTGAGCCAGGCAGGGCAGGTCCAGCGTGTGACCCACTAGCACCTTCAGAACCTTGGGGCCTGGCTGAATGCGAGGAGGCACTGAAATAAAAGTAACAAAGGGGAGGGGAACCCGCCAAGCAGCAATGTAAACAGATCTTAGACTCTCCTCCAAGCCAGGGATCTCAGACTCTGGGTGGGGTTAGTATGATTAGATACCAGGAGGCTGAAACTGAGGCAGGAAGAAGTAAAATGACATGCCCAAGTTCTCAGTAGCAGAGCCAGGACTAGAACCCAGGAGTCCTGAGCCCATGTTCTCTGCTTCAAACATCATCACAGTGTTTCATTTATTTAATATGCTGCTATACCTATCCTCATAGAGCTGAAGGGATACTTAAAGGTCATCTAGTCCAGTCCCCTGCACCATCCCTGACAGATTTGCCCCAGATCCCTAAATGCCACCCCCCAAGGATTGAACTCACAACCCTGGGTTTAGAAGGCTAATGCTCAAACCACTGAGCTATTCTTCCCCCTTACCCTGTCACTACAGGAGGGGTCACGCCCCAGTGCCCTCTTTGTGGCAGCTCTAGCCATGTATTTTTCCATTCCAAAAGGGGCTGCTTGAGACTGCTACAAGATCAGCTCCTCTTTCAACAAAGCTTCTGCAGAGAGGACTGAGCCATTCTAGATGGGTGTGTATGTGGGGACATGTAGTGGTGCTGGCGAGAGAAGGTGGATTTGCTCTCTCACAGTGACAAAGGCCTCTACTGGGCTGAAACAGAGAGGGGAGGGCTTCCCTGCCTTACCCTTTGGATCTAATGGCCACTGTGGATGTTACTGAATGGAAAGAAGGCCCCCGGCCATGTGAGCATTTACAGCTGGCTTTACAGGCAATGCTTGAGATCAGCATATGGCCTCAGGCAGCCTCACCACTTTGTGAGAGACACCGGCCAACAAAACCACTATTCCAGGTGCAAACTATAGTGTACCGCGGTGTGAGAGGGAGAACCAGCAAACCAGGAGTCTGGACTCATTGTGGGACTTTGGGCAATAGCTGTTAACTGCTGCATGCCTCAGTTTCCCCCTTTGTAAAACATGGGGCTTCCAGGGACCCTGCACAATGGGACTCTGAAGAGTGCTTAAGCACAAGAACCCGCTCAGAGCAAAGCATTCTCCTCCCCCAGATCCCTCCAGCCACAGACCGTATCTGCTCCTTACAAACACAGCCACCCCATCGTCCCAGCCTGGCCCATGCTGCTGCAGCTGGGTGGGTCACGAGACCCGAGCCAGGACATGCTGCTGTTCGGCTGAACATGCAGAGTGTTTGTGCACATTCAAACACTCAGCACTGAGCTATTTTGAAAGCAGGCAGTGACACAGGGCACCTCACCGACATGAAGCCCGACTCTGGCCAGCCTCAGTCACCCCAAAACGGATGAACAGTGAGTAGAAACCCAAGTCAGAGTGTTGCCTCTTGAAGAATCTTGGACGGGCTCTCCCAGCACAAGTGACAAGGGAACCCTCCACCAAACTACAAGGGGGCTTTACACCTTCATAGAGAGCATGGTGCCAGCTCCACCTTGCCTGGTAGAGCAGGGGAGCCATCCATCGGCACTGCGTAGATGAAGTAGGTTCGAGCCATGGGCACCACTGGGGGGAGCCCAGTCTATGGACTCATGATAGGGACAAGGGAATAGAAAGAAATCCGATGACCATGTTTAAGTCTCAGCTTGACAAAGCCCTGGCTGGGATGATTTCGTTGGGGAGGGGGCTGGACTCGACGACCTCCTGAGGTCTCTTCCAGCCCTGGGATCCTAGGATTCAATGAAACAAACACCCAGACCCAGTCAGGACAGCAGATGGTGGCTCCTTAATGGCTTTAATGTCTCCTGCCCTTCTAACTCTGAGGCACAGTCATCCCTTTCCATGTTCTGCCTGCAATGCTTCAGGGCCAGCAGCAGGATAATTATGTTAGCAGCTGCTGTACACAGGCCCCCGTCCAGCCCTCACGTAGCCCACTGGCTCACGACCGTGCCAGTCTAGTCAGGAGACTCCATCCGTCCATGGGGCTGCACTGACACACAAGCAGTGGTGTGGGCCGGGCTCCAGCGCTAAGCACAGCTCCCACTGGTCTCAGAGGGCAGTAGCGCTGGCCCAGGGCGGGTTGCCCTCTAAGAAGGACACTAGGGTTCATTAACACTGGGAAGTTAACTGGCTGTGTCCTGGAACCTCTCTAAACAAGTGACCTGATGACCAACCCCTCCTTTCTGCCCCAGGTCCCACCCCTATTCCACCCCTTTCCTCAAACTGCCACACACTCTCCTCCCTGAGCACAGTGCATCCTTGCTCCTTCCTTTCCCTCCCAGAACCTCTCAACACCATCCACAGGAGGTGCTGAGAATAGATCAGCAGGGATGCTGGTGGGTGGGAAGCACTGGGGAAAGAGGACAGAGAGGGGAGCTTGGGTGCCAGTGGGTGCTGAGCCCTGGAGCACCCACAGAGTCAGTACCTATGACACAGATGTGGTGGCACAGCTAGAGTGACAGTGACACAGCTGGGGTGACACAGCTGGGGTGACAGTGACACAGATGGGGTGACACAGCTGCGGTGACTGTGACACAGCTGGGGGCAGGCAGCATGTCTGGGAAAGGGCCCTGCCTGCTGCCTGATGAAGTGCTGCCAGTGCACCCAACGACATGGCCCTGGCTTCTAAATGGCTTTCCTCAAGCCGTGCTCTCTCCGCTCTAGCTGTCCCTGAGCGTCCCCCCCCCTCCACCCCCTCCGACCTTTCCAGCCTGCTGCTGGAAGCCACTTTCTAAGCAATCGATTTCCCAGCTGGACCGGAGGCCGACGCCCCTTTTTCACTCCCTGTTCTAACCAAGAGCCCTTGGCCCACCCTGCGTTAGGGAGCAGGGATGTTATTCTTTGAGCAGAGGGGAGCAGGATCCTCAAGCCCCTGTATTCACTGTAAGCAACACTGTGGCACAGAACGCCCAGCTGGGAAAGACCCAACAGCAAACACATCAGGTCTAATGCACAGGAACCAGCCTGGGGCATAACAAGGGGCAAAGGGACAGCCTGGCCCATGCTGGGAACCAGTGACGTTTCCTAGGATGTGAAGTAGATACCGAGAGAAGTGACCCTAGGAGGCTCCCCCAGACTCTGAATCACTAGCCCAGTTTAAACCGAGCCCCCTCTTTTCATCTCCAAACATTGCTACCTCTTCCCCTTGATGCCCAAAAGCCAAGGTGATGGGCTCCACACGCACTCCCTTGTCAGCTGGGAGGTGAAACAGGCAGCTCCAAGTATCCCCCATGATGGGAAACCATCACCCTGCAAGGGCCTCCTGCTTCTTGCTGGGCATTTCCAGTCTAGGGCACAGCAGGCAAAGGGCGTGTAGGATGTGAGCCCTTTCTCCTCGTGCAATCCCCATACCTCCACATACACACTCCATGACCTCTGCCATCCATGGGCAGCGACAGACCCTCCCCCATGACAAAAGGCTTTGCTGGAATAGGTACCTTGGACTTCCAGGTGGTAGCTCAGCGAGGTGTTCCCAGCTGGGTTCATTGCCATGCAGGTATAAAGGCCGCTGTCAGTCACCCTGGGCTCAGCCAATCGGAGGGAGCCTGAAGGGAGGATGCTGTACCTAGATCAGAAAAGAACAAACCAACCAGGGCATGACGATCACCCTAAAGGGGAGCTGAGGGAACAGCACATGGTCCCTTCTCTGCCTGGGTCTCCTTGCAGTTCTCTCAGCAGCCAGAAGCTGTACGTTGCTGAAAGATGACAAGCATCAGGGCCAGGGAGGAACCCTTGACAGTCAGCACCCAAGGAGTATTCCTGTTGTTTGTTAGGGCAACCAGGAAAGGATCCTATTGCCTGAGCACAGTCAGCACCATCAGCACTGCACGGACACAGCCCCTGCCCTGAGGAACTTGCAGTCTCTGATGGTGTGAGGTGGGGAGGTTCCTACTCACTCTGAAGACAGCCCACCTCCAGAGGCCATATATACCTCCCTGCCTGGGGCCAGCACCAAATTACCACCCTCAGCAGAACCTTGTCCTCCAAACACAGCTCTTACGGCAACCCTCCTCCGCCACCCGCCAGCCCCTTCTGCCCCCGAGTCACCCTCCAACCCAGCAATATCCTGAGCAGAGTCAACAAGACTCAGCCGTAGTTGCCCTGAACCCTTAGGCAGGGTCTAAGCGCCAGGCAGCAGGGGACACAAGAGGGGAGTGTATGCCAAGTCCTTGAAACAAACACCAAAGTCCAGATGCACAATGCACCAGATGAGCATTGACTGGGGAACAGTCTTCAGGGAATTGGGAGGCCCAAGGGGCTCTCATCTGTGGTGAGATGCTTCCATGCTTGGCTCAACATGCTCAGCTCTTCCAGATGAAGGAGGAAAGCCGAAGCCAAGCTAGCATGAGACAGCATCACAAGGAGCTGCCCTTGGACGGGGGTCATTCCTGAGGCTACTTGAGCTGCCCCTGGAGATGAGCTATTGCAGCTGGAGCTGACCACACGTTCCCCGCCAGCTGTGACCCTGCCTTTGTCAGGGATCCTGCAGACGTGACATCACCACAGCCCACATCCGCAGACTCCTTGCTGTGTGCTCCCATCCATCAACCCAGCGAGCAATGAGAGGGAGCTGTCCCCAGGCAACAAGCAGAGCCAAGGGGGAAAGTGTCGGGGAGACTGAACGCGGCCAAAGGAACTCAGACACAAGAGAACCAGGAGGGGAAAAGCTCCGCTGGGAGGAGTTAAATCAAGGCTCCTTCCATGCAGCAATTGTTGCTGTTTAGGAGGAGGATAAAAATTAAGGGGAGTTTTAACAAACAGTAAGGCGGGGAGTCACATTCCCTGTTATTAACCCCAGGACCAAGGATCAATGATCCAATGTTGAAAGAGCATCCTGTTAGGATGCTAAGATAGTTTAAACAGAGGTTCCAGCTTATGAGGATTAACCATGATTTGCTTAATCAGTATGAACCTAGGAAAGTGAATGGTGCTTGACAGCAAGATCCAATCTCTCTCCAGACAGGCTCTTCCCCGCACTGATGGAGAAACTCTTGACTCCTCAGTGTAACCAGACTCAGCTCTGCTGATTTCACTGAAGGATGAATTTGGCCTGCCAACATTAAACCGTATAAACAGAAATTGTCTCAAATCTCACATCCTGCCACAGATAAGGCTATTACTGTGCCCAGAACTGCTGCTGTCCCTGCACATTTGCTGCATTTAATTCCTACTTTTGCAAATCCTGCTGCATATGAGAAAAAATATGTAAAGCCCATTTGCTCCATGGTATTGTGTGCTGTTAAACAGCTGTCACTTTCCAGCGCAGACACAGCTGCATTTCAGTGTCAGCTGAAACAGTGCGAAGCTCTTGCACCAAATTCAACCCGGACATTACTCCATTGAAGTAAAAGGAAATACAGTAGGCATGAATTTAGTCCATTAAGATTAACTTAATGGGAAAAAAAACAGTGGAAGGTGAAAAACAATAAACCATTAGTGTCTGCTATGGAGCAATGAAATGAAAAGCAATTACCTCCTACTTCCAATATATTACCATAGTCAGGCCAAGTGCTGTAGATCATCACCAATATACTCCAAGGAATTTCTTCCTGGGAAGATAATTTTCCAAGACTTAAGATACAATGCAGGGTTTTGAGGCAGGGAAAGGTGGGAGACAGAGATGGGAGGTCCACCCACCCACTCAGGCAGGACTTACAATAAAACATCTGTCAAGGTGGCAGCTCCCCAACATTTGGACACAGGGAAACATCTCTGGGTGAGTGGTATATGACTATTCCACCCATGAATAACCAGTCAACTGGCAGTTTCCAAGACTGCAGGCTGGCGAGAGGAGAGTTTGGTAGAAAGTTTCCTCAATGAAGTCTCCATCATTAGATTTCATTCTCATATGCAGATTCTCTCACTATGACACTAACCCACCTTACCGCAGGTAGGCCCTTTAGCCCGCCTGCCCCAGCTCCGCCTGACGAGAGCCGACTAGACCAGGGGACCCGGGACTCGAACCCGCAACCCTCTCCTTCTTCCCTCCTTCAACATCCCCCCACGCACACAAAAACATCAGCTCCTACCCCTGGAGGAAGGCACAGGCCTATGCAATGATAACTGCCTGCTGAGAAAAGGAATCAGCTGCGTATCTGTAGTGACTGGCCCAAGCACTGACATTCAGTCAGGACTTTGGTTTGGCCTGTCAACATGGGATCAGGATCCAGATCGGACACTGGAGAAGTTGGGGGGCGTGGGGGAGAGCCTGAAATGCAGGGGTTTGGCCCAGGATCCACCACTAATTTACATGAGGATGCCATAAGGGACTGAACAGCTATTTCACTCAAGGGAGACAGCCAGTGGATGAAGTCAGAAAAAGAAGGATGGTCCAGTGGTTGGGGCACTAGGGTTCAAGTCCCTGCTTTGCCAGACTCCCTGGGCAACTTCAGGCAAGACACTTCCCCTCTCTGTGCCTCAGTCTCCCACCTGTACAATGGGGATAACGGCACAGAGGTACTGAGAGAATGAAGAGCATGAGGGGCTCAGATACTAGCTCATGGGGGTGTCTAGAAAAGCCTCCAAGAAATCAGGGAGACTGGGAGCGGTTGGTTACCCTGCAGCCTTCTCTGCTCTATGTGCATCACTATATGGCTTCTCCTTGGATGCCCAGGTTGTTGGTGGGGCTTCCCTGGGATTCCCTGCAGCTAGCCAGCCGCAATCAGATTTTACTTTCTTAAACAAAAGGCCTCTCTCCACCCTGGAACCAGAGTTATACTCCTCTGATTTCAGTGGAGCTGAAATTTGGCCAAGCTGTTGCTGGGAGGACAAACAAGTTGTCCGTTTTGCACTTTCAGGCCCAGATATTTCCATCGTGGCGCTTCCGCGCCTCAGCTCACCTTGAACTTGCAGAAGCAGACCCCAGGCAATTGCCAAAGCAGCAGACGAGCAGGGATCACGCACGGATGGCACAAGCACATCAGTTATTCAAGGTTCAAGCGAAGACCATGCCCTGGTCGAGACTCTCTTGTATGTTCCAGGCAAGATCCTTGTCGCAGAACCGCGCAGCCCTCGCACAGGGAGCCCCCTCCTCTGCAGCGCTCCCTGGGTTTGCTTTCAGAGGCTCACAAGGCTTAGAGCCAGATCCTTGTGCAAACGAAGGCTACTCGTGGGAGCAGGGGACACATTAGCTTTGGCAATAAAAATCCTGTAGCACGCTGAGCACTTTCAACTACTCACAGTCAACTGGAGCCCTGGTTTGGTGCCCAGCTGCCCCAACTGGGCCTTTAGATTGAATGATAGGTTGAACCTCTATAATCTTGACTTCCCTAGTCCTGCAGCACCCCTGGTCCAGCATCATCAGTGATCCCCAGAGGTGCTCCGGAGCTGGAGCACTCATGGGGAAAAGCCGGTGGGCTGCAGCCAGGAGCATTGCCGGACTAGAGAAGAGCAGAGCCCCAGAGCTGGTGGCCAAGAGCAAAGCCTTGGAGCCCCAGCTGCTGGCAGCAGAGTCCCAGCAACCTAGGGGAGCAGAGCCCCGCCACCCCAAGGACTGGCAGCCAGGAGCAGAGCCTCAGCACCCCGAGGGAGTGAAACCCGAGTGCCCAGCTCCTGGCAGCCAGGAATGGAGGGGCCAACATTGACCTCCCCGGGCCTGACATATTTCCTGGTTCAGAACTGGTCAGGTCCTGAGGGCACAGGATCAGGGAGGTTCGACCTGTACCTTTCAGGTAACCCAGTGGCTTTCATGTTGGTCTCTGTGGTCTTCAGAGAACACCCCCTGCTCTGTACGGAGCCAAACACAAAGAGCCTAGCTACAGCCTGGAGGAACCGGAGTGACACATGCATGTGTGAAGGAGGCTTTTCACAGCTATTTGGCCAGAGGATGATAGTATTTTAATTCAATCCCAGCTAAGAATCACAACACACACTAAGCAGAGGAGTGACACATTGCATGTGTGAAGGAGGCTTTTCACAGCTATTTGGCCAGAAGATGATAGTATTTTAATTAAATTCCAGCTAAGAGTCACAACACACACTAAGCAGGGATTAGCTGTGCAGTAGATCTGCCCCAAGCACTCTGCTGACCCACAATAAAACACACTTCAACAGGCTCTTGGCACACAAGCCCCGCTGTCGCAGAGGTGGAGTTAAGCACATTCAGATCACATCACCCAACCTTTCCATTGGCTCCAGAAACATTCCTGGCATTAGCTTTGAGAACATTTCTCCCTTGCTCC